CCCTCCAACCTCATGTTGGAGAGAAAACTTGTGTTTGGTAAAACTGTTCAGCACTGTACAGGAAAAACAAAAAATCCCTGAAATAGTCTTCTATGAAGAAGGGACCTTGCCAGTCAAAAGAAATGAAGGTTGAAACTGATGTTTTTACTTGCAAATAGAACACTGCTGAACCCCTGGGGACACTGGCTGGGATTCCTTGTTCGGCACTGATTTTTCACTTCTGCCTCCACTGATGTGAGCCCTGGCATCAAGCAGCCATCCTGCAGGCCTGACCAAGCAGCCTGCCAGTCTGACCCCCGCAGAGCTCAGACTTCCTGTGTGAGAAATGGTTTTTTTCAGTTGCTCTCAGCTTTGACTGCTGTCCTTCCCCCTGACAGGGGAGGTACTGCCAAATGGGAACTCCCCAGGCAGAGCCTTTCAGTTTGGGTCTGGGGTACTGAGGGCTGCAGAGAATGGAGAGTTAATGCTTGGAGAAGTTATTTCCAAATGGAAGCTGGGAGCTTCCTGACTGACTGGCCAAACAGCTGTGTGAAAACAGAAGGGATGTCAACATTATGAATGAAAATGTAAACTCTCCTTTGTCACCTGGTCTGCAGGTCTCCTTCCAGACACAACTGAGCTCAATAAATTGGTGGTGACCGACCGAGAGAGGCATGTAGTCCCAGCCTCAGCTCTGACTGTAATCAGCTGTGTCGACCTTGTTCAGGTCAGCCCTCTGGGCCTCCATTCCCTCACCAGAATACCAGTCATTTTAATAAATGGACCCAGCAACTAGGTGGTCTCTATTTTTAGCACGAAGGTGAAGACTGTACCTGTTGGTAGAGTTAGGGGCTAAGTGGAATAAGGGTTTCATTTCTCAGGAAAGCATATTGGCCAGTGAGGGTCTGTTGGCATCTGACACATTGACAAGTTCTCTTATACAGAACTAACGTTCTTTGGGATCACATATGGAGTTTCAAGGATTGCAGTGAGGACAGGATGCACCTGTGTGCTCTTTCTGTTCCTGATGATCAACTGAAATCTCTCTTCCTTTGACTCTGCTTAGTTGCCCCAATCGAAAGGTTAGGGGGTCAGCACAGCTTAGCTTCTAGAATCACAGTGACTTCTGGGCCAGCACCACTTCAAGGATTTAGGTATGTTCTGGGCTAGGCCAGTAGAATCTATTTTGGGATTTCTCAGAGCCATTCAAAGCTTACCCCAGAATGAA